GGGCGTGGCGTTATGAGGTTGTGCCACGTGTCGCTCCGTGTGCTGGGAGTTCGTTCCTGCAGCAGCTCCCAGTACGCGGAGGGGAAAACGTCAGGACACGATGCCAAACGACGCACGGTCGAACCTCCAAATGAACCTGCACAGGAGTGCACCGTTCTGCCTGGCTACTTGTTGCCTTCACTCCATAAATCAAGGCCTTTTAATTCAAGAGTCTTCGCTACTTGTTATGGTATTTTTTTCTCCATACGTGAGAGATATATGTGGGAAAATGAGAAAAAGAGATACAAAAAAACCGATACAATATAAAGAAACATTTTGCTGCATTACTCGGGACACTATTCCAGCTAGATGTCAGTGCAGAGAAAGAGAATCCGATGCCTGTTGTCTGGTTCCACACACTGTGCCCTTCACTGGGGGCCCGAGTGAGGGCGCGTAGACGAGCAAGCCCTGGCAGCCACTCACTGCCACCAATCGTCCCTATAGAGGCAGAGTGGCTGCGTTATAAGGCCAGGGACCAGAAGAGGCGAGGGTCCGCTGCTAACCGTGACCGTGAAAGGCCGAACGGCGGCGTGGCTCGACGCGGCTGCCCCTGGCTAATACTGCGGGAATGTTCCCCACGGACACTCACAGTCCTCGTTGCGGTGGCCACCTTAAAATCCCGTGGTGGCATTCGAGTCGGGCCATGAGTACCGGTGCCACGGGCCCACATTTGAAAATGTATCACAAATGACTTCATTGGGTAACATCCATGTTGCAATATCTGTCTCCTGCTGCTGGCAAAACTGTATCCATCTGGGAGCCATAGCGCCTCATGTTGCGACCCACGTGCTCTTACGGCCGTGGCACCTGGCGGGGATACAAGCCTGAGAGCCAGGTCAGAACGCAGTCGTCTACTCCACACCAGGACGTCCTCTGGTCTCACACCGTTTTGAGACGAGGCTCAACAGAAAGCTGTCTCTGGTGTGGACCAATCAGTTTCAAGGACAATGCATATACTATCAGAGTATGTTTTTTTTCCATTCTGACCACAAGTATTGTGGTTAATGCAGGCATGATTCCTTGTAAAAGGTTTCAGTTTGGTGTTTTAACATCTTAACACAGCTGTTTTGTTGCCAGAAAAAAGGGGAAAACCTCTTCTCCCATTTGCTTCATAATTTGCTTCTGTTGTGATTGAAAAAACCAATGACCACGAGTATTTGCTCAATGCCGCTATTTCCTCCACCTCTACACCCCCCACCCATCTTACGCATTTTAGGAATGTGAATTAAATACATCTTTATTTGGCTGCATTTATTATTTTCCGAAATGCTTTCTACGCGTGGAAAATATATATAACTACGAATGTTTGAATCACAAATGTGTTGGCTGCGAGGATATAAGCACAGCAGCTCATTTCCATGGTATTGCTGAGCCAGCAACGCTGCTATCTCTGGTTTCAAACACAGCCACCCAGGCAGCCAAATGCAGCAATTAAGCAGTCTGGCTAGCAAAACCTTCTGAAAACCCCCCATAATGTACATTTAATTTGCAATTCGTTTTAGATTTGCTAGATTTGTTTTTTTTTTCATCATTCACCCAAGTTGTGGTTGGGTGAGAGATGGTGGGGCAGTGCTGGACTAATCAAATTTGAAAATAAGTTGTTGGTATTTTGAGCACCAGGTGTCTTTAGACAGAAACTGGGAATTGCATGGCAAGACAGAATCAGCCATGCAGAAGTCCGGGAAGAGAACCTGGCGGGCGAGAGTTGTTGACACAATTAGGAATTAACAGTTGTGGGGTTACGAGTGGGTAGAATGTAGCAAGGGCCGGTGATGGAGGCAAGCGTGGTATGTATGTACGTGGGACTTCTTGCACACCGCACAGAGCCAATCAGCGGTGCGGGGGAAGGACAACAAACTAAACACAAAATACAGTTCTAAAGAAATTAATGTTCAATCTTGAATTCAAAGTGCATAGCCCCCAGTGACTTCCTAACATCGGAAGGAATCGCATTCCAAATGGCCGCGGAAGAGCATCTGAAAGCGCGTGGATGCGGTGACGCTCTTTGTTCAATGGCCAGCTAAAACCCGCTGCTGCGAGGATGACCAGAATTCACGTGGCGGTGGATTTTGCTTCTTGGCGAGATCAGCAAAGGTACTGTGGTCCGTTTGGTGGCGAGCACTCTGTGTGTAATAAGAGCGACCTTATGAGGGTTATTCATTCGGCAACTAACGGGAATTTTCCCATTGTTCCATTCGGCTCTGCCCTCGCTTACTTTCTCCAAACTGCAACGGCAACGATTGAGACACTGTGCTCCGATTGGGTGAGCGATTTACGAAATTAACAACAATATTAATAACGCAAGGGAGTCTTGGAGCTTTTTCCATGCGAGAAAATGCAATGTATTAAAGACGTATTTTTTAAAGAATGAGCTAAAATAGCTGAAACGTTGTGAGGTAAAATAAATACTTGTACTGTACATAGAACGCTGCTACGATAAAGGGTGGGCGAGAGTAGAGGGGGGGGTGTGGGGGGAGTGGAGGAGAGGGAATTGAGGGGTGGGGGGATTTGAGGGGTGGGGGGAGGGGTGGGGCAGGGGGTGTAGACTACGGGGGAAGAGGGGGGAGAGAGGGGAGGGGAGAGAAGGGGGAAGAGGGGGGCAGGGGGAGGTGAAGAGAGCGGCGTGGGGGAGAGAGCAGGGGGGGAGGAGAGGGGAGAGGAGACGGGGGGGAGGAGAGGGGGGGGGGTACAGACGGGGGGGGGGGGGGGAATCGAAGGTGCCCGGGGGCCTGGCCGAGGCTGCGGGTGGATGAAGTCGCTCCCAGGTGATGTTTGAACTGCGGGAAGGGGGATCACTTTGACAGACACTGAGGGGACGGAAGTTCCGAGGTGGAGAGGGGGGGCTGGCAGAATGGGAAAAATGAGTGACAACCAAGGGGATGTTAGATTCAATTGTGGGGTTGCATAGCAGGCGGGTTGGCTACGTACGGTGCAAACTAAGTTCAACATTTGGTGCATACAGGCGCGTGTCAGAGTACCCAAGTGGCCCGGAGCATGTGCAGCACGGAGAGAGGTGAGAGGCATCGATGGGGGTGGGGGGCATAGATATAGGGCACAGTTGTGGAGGATGCTAAAGAACGAGGTTGGGGCTGTTTTATAAATTATATGGAACGGACTGCGAGTCGGTGAGGATGGTATGGCCACGCTCCCGCGACCGGCAGGCGGACGAGCAGCAGCGGCAGCGGGCTCCATCCCAGGGTTAGTGGAGCACGGAGAGAGTGCAGGGAGCGAGAGATGCGGAGTCTCGGCAGCAGCAAGGGGGGGCGTGTGAGTGTTCTGATGTGAGGCAGTGCTGAGAAGCCGGGACTGCGAGTGTGGAAGGCAAAAGGCTTCATCATGGGCAGAGTCGAGAGGGTGGACGATTTTGAGAGAGATTTAGAGATCTGAACCCCGTTCTTCTCGAGTGCTCCCGATCACCAACCCACAGTGAGCAGCAAGGGGGGGGCAGCTGAGGCCAAACATCTTCCGCATATCAGGAGGCGTCCGTCCCTTAATCAGGCTTCCGTCCTGCTTTCTAACCAATACCACCGGTGCTCCCCAGGGGCTTGTTGATGGTGAGATTATATCGGACGCCAACATTTCCTCTCATTTTTAGTGGAGCCGCGCGTTCGGGCAAAACTGCAGTAAGGAATGTTGTAATCGTACGTGCGACGATCTCGAACTCAACAGGCGATTTTAAGGGGTGAGCATTGTGACCCCACTCACCCAGTGACAACAACAACAACAATAACACATCGAACAACAAAACAGCCGCACGTGGCTCAAGGGGGGGATGTTGAATGTCCACCCAGCCGCCTTGGGGGGGAGGGGGGGGGGCTGGGCCCATCCCCGGCGTCCCTTGACGAACTCGAGCCCCGGGCTCCCGAGTCCGGTCCCTTGCTCGTGACGGATTCTCAGGACGCCCCGAGCTCTAGAGGCGTGGGAACTGTGGGTGGCACAACAACTTTAGTTGGCAGATGGTTATCACTTATTATGATTTAATTAAACCATTTCATACACATAAGGTTATGTATCGTGAGCATTAAGGAATCGATTAATCATTTCACCCGAGAGGTAGACTGGTTTGGATATTTTTTTTAAGGGAGGTTGTTGTCGCAGCCCTATCTGCCCTGCGCTAAGGATGAGTTTAGGCTAACTTCATTTGGATATTGGATATTTTTTAAAGCCCAATGTCAAATTTTATTTAACGATTTCTGATGTTACTAATTACATCTTAATAACTTGCATTGTTAATACATCAATTGGCCTGATCTGGAAATCTGAAACTCATACCGATCATTGGTGCTTAATTTCAGCCCAGACATTGCGAATGCGGTTCTGGGATTCACATCCATCTCGCCCAATTAACGAAAACAATTCTCACAACATCAGTGAGTCCATGCATACATTTATATATATGTGAACCTGTTTATACGATTAGAGGAATAAAGGTTACAACAATATTGTATCACGGTCACCTTGTACTCCCGTGGTCGTGCTTTACACCAATAAACCGCACCCCAACCCAGCCTAGCAGCAGGAGCAGCAGCGGTGTCGTGGAAAATCAAGTGGAGACTTTAAAGCCTTGCCGAGCTCAGCGCGTTTGGAGCCACATGTCCTTTCGAGGTGAACAGAACTGGCGCGCGAGAGCTTTCCGCAAAAGAAAGGAATGTCGGACAACTTTAGTGCACAGCCTCAGTCAAAACATCACCAAGCCCCGCGATACGATCCCGCTGAAAGAATTCAACCCCCCAAAACACCCCACTGTAAAAATAATCCACGCAAAAAATATTTCCACGAAAATGGGGAGGAAAAGAAAAAGCCAAAAGCCATAATTTATTTTTTCAGGAGTAGTGAATTCTCGCGGTGATTGAGGGGAGGTGGCTGCTGCGGGGGAAAGGGGGCTGTGGTTTTTCACCACGGAGCTTTCCTGGCCAAATAAATCCGTTTCTCTGGGCCCGCTGGGTGCTCAGAAAGCCACACCACTGCGCGCGTGTGGACGCAGCAATCGTAGGATCACCCGTCGTGGTATTTGCCAAGGGATTTGAATCGACTGGTTTCTTTAGCAACTGCTGTTTTCACCGGTGTGGCTGTCCAATAAAATATATTTTGTGTATTTTCAATCAACAAAATATCCCGAGTACAGGTTTTCATCTTATTATTCATCAATAGATGTTGATTATTTTTCTTTCATTGTTCACCATGATAATTCAAACAACCCGGTCTCTGAAAGGCTTCACACTGTTGGGTAAGTTTTCACTGCGTTTTGTGTGGTGTGGAGGTCCCATGATTGTGTGGTACATTGTATTCATTGTATGCGTCAAACTGTTCCTTAATTTAAAAATGTACTGTTCCTGTGCCGTTATATATGAAGATATCTCTATACTCGGCGCCGCGGTGGCAAGACGTTAACTCCCTCTCGCCTGATATGCGGGTCGTCGGGTCCATCCCAACCCTGACGCCTGCTGCTGTATATTTGGAGTTTGCAGGTTCTCCCCGTGGTTGTGTGGATTTTTATCCGGGTCCTCCGATTTTCCCTCCACATTTAGAAATATGCGTTTAGAGTATCGGGCTACTATAAATTTCCACAAGATAAGCCAATTCGTTGAGCTACTATTTGTGGCCAGCTCGTTCCTGAAAAACAGCTCAGTGGACTTTACCTGGTAAAATGAAAAGTTTTCGTTTTAATTTCAGCTGCAACTATAATTATTTTGGCATGCCACATTCATCTCGCCTTAATTTGTCTGAAAGCTCTTCATACGATTATAGGAAGATACGGTTTAATAATGTAGTATTATTATAGAGTTGCTTACCTTGTGGCTTAGCTAATAATGCCCATTCCAAACCAGCCGAGCAACATTCTTGAAGATATTGAGTGATAAATTAGGTCATATTTCTATTTATTGGCAGAGCGGATATGGTTTGTTCATTTCAAAATGTTTCTCCTTGACAGAGCGTCTCTGTTATTATTAAAGTGCGTGGCTCTCAGTGGAGATCTTCCGAGTTCAAGTCCTGGTTGAGAGAGCAATGCGGCAATTTTCACCCCTCATTTCAAAACGAGGCTCTTACAGCAGCAGCAGCAGCAGCTTATAGCAACCTGCTGTGCATGGTGATGGTCTCCCATGCCTGTATTTGGCTTCGATACATTTCCACGTGAAAAGCCACTTCGTTACGCTACCGTATGTGGGCCAGGTTGCTTCTGAAACATAGTTATATTGCTCAGTGGGCCTTACATGGTGAAATAAAAAAAAAAGTTAAGTTTAACCCTGCTTATCTTCAGAGATGTGACGAGATCAGAAGCACATTATCGGTGAATTGGTCACAGGCTAAGTGGTGGGCAGCAGAGGTTCAGTCCAGAAAAATCCACCGTTCTTTACTTTTGTGCTCTCTTGTGTCTGCTCCTTATCTCCACCAATGCACGCTGACCGGCTTGTTGAAGTATGGTCTAATAAGCCGCATGGAGTTGTGAGGCCCTCATCCAGCAGTGGATTGACATAGTACTGCTCGTGTACAAAGTACGTACATGAAGCATGGACCCGATGATGAGACGTTGACACTTGGTCTGGCCACATCTGGCTCAGGTCTGTAAATGGCGAATACAATTTCACTCAACATACATGGAAAGACAGCATTTGTTTGTTTTATTGTTGATATTTAGAATAATGAAAAGTTATGCGTATACATGAAGCACCGTAATTCTACACCGTGGTTAATTTATTTCATATGATCTTATCTTAATATAATTTATATAGTGCCTTGACCTATGCGCTTTACAGAAAATTAATGGTGGTACACATGAATGTGATGGTGAAGATGAAGTTAGTAAAATAGATAAGAGGAAGTAATGGGTGAATCTCTGATGCGTGAATTAGGTAAAAACAAAATTAATGAGACATTATGATAATGAATTGATTGGATGGATGATTGAACGAGTGGTAAACCATGGTGAGAGATTATAAAGAGGGAACAGGAACAGAGGTAGTGCTTATAAGAAGGAACTTAAGGGGTCGTGGGGTGAGCTGAGGCGGGGAAATGCAGCCACAAATGCACTCGATCTTGGTGGATTTCACAAGCTCAGCAGCAGGTTTGGGGCCTGGTTAGTACTTGGGTGGAATGGGTCACTGCAATGGCTTACCATGTATTTTTTCTAGGTGCAGAGCTGTCACCAATCCTCGTGTGCGTTTGTGTCTTTCTGGTTACTTTGGTTTCCTCCAATACGCTCATTAATGGTATTTGCCAAACATTCCATTCCACAGCACTTCCTGAAAAATAACCCCTGGACTCGGTTAGGCTTTCCTGGCTAAATAATTGGCATTACAGGAACTATCGTTATTAATCATGTACACAGTATATGCATGAGACTGTGTGTCTAAGTGAGAAAGCCTCACAGTCTCAAAATCTAAGTTCATAGCAGAGACAGAAAATGCTATAAATGTCCACATGATAAGCCACTTCGTTGAGCTATAATTCGTAGCCATGTCGCTTCTGAACAAGAGCTGCATAGCTCAGTGGGCTCTACCTGGTAACATAAAAAGTTTTAGTTTAGAGTTTTAATTTCATCTGTAACTTTGCAGAACGCTGTGCTGGCCATTATTTTGGAATGCAACATCCATCTATCCTTAATTTGCCTGAAAGTTCGTCATACGATTATAGGAAGTCGGTATAATAATGTAGGAGTATTACGGATGTCCGTACCTTGTACTCTAGTGGTAGTGCCTTAGCTAAAAATGCCCATTCCAAGCCAGTCTAGCAACGATCTGGAAAAAATTGGGAGAAATTAGGTCATGCTTTTACTCAGAGTGCATCTGGTTTGTTCATTTCAAAATGTTTCGTCTTAGCAGAGCATTAACTGGTACAATAAAAACACAATTAATTCGAAAATGGTAGGAAATGTGTTGTTATTCGGGTCTTACTCTCTAGCCCACACTGATCACTCTCCGAGCCCCGAGGTGCTATCGTAGCGTTCGGGACAGACTGCTTCCTGCATGTCTGGCGACAATTGAGACTTGTCGAATACTTCCAATGAGAACCGCGTGCCGGAAAACGATACATAACCTAATCCGCACAATTTTCTTTCCTTGTCAATGATAAAGGCTGGGACCGTGATGAGGCCTGCGCTCAACAGCCCCCTTCGTTCATTCACGTTTACTTTACAACAGATGGTGCCGCTAATCAAATCTGTGAAAACATCGTCACTTACGGATTGGATTATACTTGGCATGAGCCAAGTAAATGAACCCCACATTGCGGAAGTAGAGATGCCACGTGTGTGGTTTCCCGGTGCAGGCACCAGTCCACCGTTGTCCATCACTGCATCACTGCTGCTGGTCAGGCAGTCACATTTTCTCAAATTTATTTTGGTGACCTAAGACAAGAGGACCACAACGTTCTTCATGAAATGCGAAGAGTTTCCCCATAATGCACTGAGGCTGTGTGTATTTTGCACATTTCTGTGTGTGGTTTGAAACCAGAGTGGAGCCGCTTATTGCTCCCCCACATATGTTCACCAGGTGTTTGTTAGGAGTTCAACTGCTGACCTTGTTGAAAAAATATAAGCTGAGCCAGCAGCTTGTTGCAACTTTCCACGGCAGAGATGACGTCAACGCACGGTGCAGGTTTTCACTGCTGTACCTGCAATATCTCTCCCGTGTGAGAGCTATTGCAGTTTGCAACCACGCGGTGTTCTCAATGATGCAATGCCGAACAACACGTGTTACGGTGCGTGCAACGCGTCGGAGAGAGCTAAAGTGTCGAGCGATTTCATCGTTGTGGTACAGTCACCACCCCCCCCCCCCCTCTGTCGAATGTTACCAACCCTACAATGTTTCGGGTCGTTCACATCTGTTGGCCAGGGCTGGTCGCGAAAGTCTCGTGCCAAGATTTCAGCAGACTAAACACAACGGCGCTCACAGCGTTTGTGTTCATTGGGAGCGTCTGGAGGCACCTCTGCGTTTAAACACAATCATATAAACCATGCTGTGACTTGCCACAATTATTTTTTTGCAAAAATATCTAATCAAATGTTCCAGCCATTTTCAGTGCACTGCTGGTTGAAGGTTTTCTGATGCCATGTCGGTCGTGGGTTTTTTTTTTTACCGAACTTCATCACGCTGGTAAGTGCGGGTTGGTGAAGGTGGATGAGGGCAAAATTGGGTCAGATATCACTCACCACTGATGTTAGACCATGGCCTGGAATTGAAGTTGGGCGGCCGCATTCGTAGCACAGTGCGGTCAACAACTGCTCCCCACCTCCTCTGTCATTACTTTGTGCCGTGTCCAGAGGCCCCCCATCTTGAGACTCAAGGAGACAGAGTCGTGCAGGCCAGGATGACAGGGCCTCTGGTTGTTGAGACTCGGTGAGACTGCAATCATTATTGGGTAATAAAATATTTTTTGGGGTATGACCGCAGAGCTGTCAAAGAAATAATTGTTTTATTCCTGAGATTTCAGTTAAGCCACTGCATCCAAAATAATTCCCATAATATGTAACATTGCAGAGTAATCATAATTGGGTTGTGTGAAACTAAATATAGTTGATGCATTATCTCAGAACAAATTAAAGTGTTATTCTTATGACATCAAAATACGGCTTAAATGTGACATCATTGCAGTAAAATAGCGAGACATTGGAAAGATGAATTTTTTTTGGAATGGGGTATATAATACGCCACAGTAAAAGTACCTTAATTATGGGAATTTGTGATGGTGGTCGGGTGGCTCAGGAGGCAGAGAGCTGAGCCAGCACCGCCGAGATCCTGCGTTTGAATCTGGGGGATCTCAGCCACCTGTGATTACACCGCGCTTCTCGAGTGTAGCCGGTCTGATGGTCTTAGTCCGATCGCTAATGGCAACACACACAAAATATAAACTGTTGTCTCATTTCAGCTCTGAGAATTAAGCAATGATTTGATTGACACGAAATACGGGGTGCTCCTCTGTTTACTGTGAGAGTTCTGGACGGCGTTTTCTTTGTCTCATAACATTCCAGAAATAGGACAGTGAGATTTTTAAAAAAATTATTTCAGCATAGTTGTTGAGCATAGACTCAGGAGTCCAAAACGCCAACAGCCAGCAATAACTGAAGGCGTAGTAGATAATAGTTGATACGTTTCTTGAATTGAACAGGGTCATAATAACTTGGGAAGACTTGGGAAAGGAGCCCATTCGAGTATGAGGAAAAGGGGGAATAAAAAAACATGTTGGTTTGCAAACACGAGCTGTTAATGCAGACTTGTTGCCATGTCATAG